CCCCCCCCCCCCCCCCCGGGCAGCAGCTTACAGTACTTTAAACCACAAATGAATTTTTGAATAATTAAAATACACAAAATGCCTTAATCAAATATGTAATACAATAAACAGTACAAGAGGCGGTGATCACATTTATGCAACTCGTACATTTAAAATTAGCATATAGGTATCCTGAAAGGTCCGAGAGAAATCAAATCAAATACGGTCAGTACACTGACTCCCTTGCTTTTAACCAAGTTCCCCTTTTGGTATCATAATATTTGGAGCTAAATCCAAGGCCTCTGGAAACCTTCAGAGTCTCTCCATTTATACAGCCTCATATACCTCGCAAAATTCATCCTTAAGACCGTCTGTCTCTCCCTCCCATTGCCCCATTCAAGGGAATACACGTGTGTTTGTTTATTTGTATTGATATATGTATGCATGATTTGAGCGCCAGTTTCCTAGCCCGACTTCCATGCTTCTTTTGATAGTAGGAAGAAACGCATCCGGCGAAGTTTACTTTCCTCCCTCCGCTTTTCCCCGCGTGATGAATTTCTGCAGCGAAGTGAAAAGAGGCGTCGATCCCCGCCTTTCCCTCTCCGGAGGAAAACGAGGTTAGGTGATGGTTCAGCATGTCGGGCGCACGCAAATCCTCAGGTTAGCAACCCAGCACGGGCAGGCGTAACCCGTGGAGATACACGCCCGCATTCTCACGTTCTCGGGGGCGCGCGTGCGCTAAAAGTCCGCCCACCCGGGCCACCTTCCATCCCTCTTTCTGGTCCCCCGCAGCTTCCACCAGGTCTCTCTCCCGCCGGGTCAGTCTGCGGGGCGGCGGTGGGAGAGCACCGCTCCTCCCTTCCCCTCCCCTCCCCTCCCCTCCCGGAGGCAGCGCCGCCTCCCGCCCCAGGTGGCTGCCGCGACCAGGAAGTCGCCTTGCCCCGCCTCGAACGGGCTTCACGCGCCGGGAGCGAAGCTGCAGCCGCGCAGGGCCAGGGGCGAAGCAGCAGCAGAAGTTGCGAGCGCTGCCAGGTCGCGGGGCAGCTCCTCCGCGTGCAGGCGCCTCTTCCTGGCACGCGAGGTGGCGGAGGGCGATTCCAGGGTTCGGGGCAAACGACCTCCTAGGAGACCCCCTCCCCGAGAAGTTTAAAGGAAGCGCGCATTTCATTTTTCGAGTTGCATGATTTAGACGAGCGGGGGCTAGCATTAATTCTTCTTCTTGTGATACCTTGCGAAGGGGAGGGCAGAATTGCCTCTCCCGCATTATTCTGCCTCTTCCCAATTAGAACTGTAAAGAGGTCACCCTTAGACGTAGAGATGGCTTCCAGTCCAAATGATTCGGATCCGAACTCCCAGCAAGGGGACAATGATCCGAATCCAAATATCAGCCCTCAAGAAGAGCTGGACTTCTCGATTTTATTTGATTATGACTATTCGCATCCAATAGCAGGTTTGTGACTTCTGATTACTCCTATTACTACTAGTATGAATTTATTACTGTCATCACCTTCATCTTTAGAGATGCTTTTCAGTAGAACCTATGGGGTATTTGGAACGGATGTTTTTTTGAAGGATGCTTGTTCCCAAGGATCAAGGAATAGTGCAAAATGTAGTTGGTGTCACTTCGGGTGGCCGGGATCAGATCATGTTTCTTTAGCACTTGGGTTGGAAACTCTATCTGAGCAAGAGGTGGACTGGACTGGCCTGTACAGGAAAAAGTGGTTTTCTGCAATTAACCCTAAAGAGGGCAGCAGGGAAACATTACAATGTTTGCTGAGGTTAATTGGGATCATCTGCAGTTATGAAAGTTTACCTTTCTTCCATCAGACTTAAGGTGGGTTTGAAAGTCTGCGAATATCTTTCTGCTTATCTCTAGAGGGATGTATAATAAGAAGCTCTCCCCTTTTTTTTTACTTCATAGGATGGTCATATCTAACAGGGAATGGCAGAAAGTGAATTGCAAAGAAAATAAAAATTATAGTACCAATAGCATCATATTTTAGCACATCAAAAGACTATTCTTGAACATGTCTGGGTCCTGTAGATAACAACTTTTACTTTTCATGACTTTCTGTTTTATCTGACAGCATTATAACTTCATTGCACTCATAATTGTTGGTTCATAATGCAAAGCACAGATCCACAGGGTAGGGCCAGAAAGGACTCTGAAATTAATATTGGACAATGGTTTTGGTCTTCAGTCAAGCTTGCTAGAATCAGTAGGTTGAGTAACAGAAGGCAAACAGGTCTTGAAAGCCTTGACTAAAAGCCAAAGAATAAAACAGTTGTAATTTCATACAGTATTTGTAAGGTGCCATAGAATGTCTTACTGTTTCTACTAGCCTCAGGGCTAGGACTGCATTGCTCATGTTCTCATGTGATAAAATATAACCATTTTTTTTGATGTCCTGTGTGAATATCACACCTTATTCATGCATCACACACTCTTGTCACATGTTGGGAATATCTAAAAATCAAGGTTCTGCGATGTATCCTTATTTCATAGTACATGGATATTTGGCAAATATGATCTGTGAAAAATCCTGGGGGCACATTTAATGTGTTTCAGAAATTGCAGACAGTGTGGAAAACAACATCACACTTCCTGATGTGAGTTTGTCTCTAATTAGTCATTAAAATGGGCAGTATAATTTCATAGAGATCTTCTGAGTATGGTCAGTTTTCTTTTGGCAGGGTTTTCTGTACCATATTAACATAACAAATTCTCCAGCAATTTGTTTTGAATTCTCTACTGCAGTTCAGCACTAACCACATCTACCAAGAAATGAAGCAAGAGTTGGGAGAAAAAGCCTTGCTGGGACGCAGTAATCTTTGACTTGGGGGGGGGGGTTAGTTCTTAAGTCCTCCTTGACTCACAGCGTGATACTGATGCTAATACTGAATATCTTAGGTCAGTCTGTGAATCAGGAGTTGATCCTGCCTGCCTGTTATACCCAACAGTGGAGCTATCAAAGGGCTCTTTTTTTCATGACCCGGAGATAGAAGAGGCAGATTCATAAAGAAGGAGTGAGCAAAGGTATAATTGCAAATGTAAAGGCACACAGGATATTCCTTGCTCCTTTCAGTAAGCTGAAGGGCTGCTTTGACCTAGAAAGAGAGAGCAATTGACTTGGATCCCAAGAGTTTTGAATTGCAAGCCATGATACCATTTGAAAAAGAACAACTGTTTGTAATTCAGATATAATCAAATACAGACATGCGGAAACCTGCAAAGCATTCCTCACTGCATGCTTCTCAGCCATTTATAAATACAAATTAAAGCTTTTTCTTTTAAAATTATGACTTTTAATGTTTGTGGCATTTTTATGATCGCATAATGTTAAACAATTTTCATTTTCTTATTTACCAACATACTGCTTGCTTTGCCCTTTTGGGATGGAATATGATCAATAACTATATGTAATCTCCCCCACCCCCCTGGCCCAGTTTTCTTTAATCTGGTTGCATTAGAACAGCAACTGTCAACATTCTCAACAAACATGGCCAAATATCCAAAATGTGCCAGGTTGGGCCTGTTATACTTTTGGAATGATGTTACTGCTGGGGGCTGACTTTGTAAATGAAACTGGCATTATATGGCAGTCTTCGTCTAGATGGGATCTATCCAGAGAAGGCTTAGATATGCAACTTCAGTGAATGCAGTCAAACATTCTTGTGAATGACCATATCATTTATAGGATGAACAAAGTTTTACTGATTTCTTCTGAATGTGGACAAGAGGGTATATAACCAAGAGTGGTTGATTGTACCAGAGGGTGCACCTACTAAAGTTGCTTTCATGTTACACCTTTTGAACAAATAAAAACTGTGGACATAACTTAGAATGTGCTAAAGTGGTATAATCTTACAAGGCCAAAACCGTGACTGAGAATATCTTTTCCTGTGAAATAAAAGCAACACTAGTTAATTTACATTTCCAGTGGTAGGCCTAGAGAAATGAACACTGTCAATATTTTTACAGGTTTAGCGCAGAGATTCAGTTAAACAATAAACTCAGACTAGGGTTTACTGAACTCTGAGAAATCTGGGGGTTATCTTTGATTCCTGGGTATATAGAGGAAAAATGTCAGTAATTTTCTTATTCAACCTGCTTGTATTTTAGTGATTTCCTTAAACCAAAAGCAAAAGTAAGACTGCAAACTTAAATACCCTTTCTAGGAAGTAAGCTGCACTGAATTCAGTGACACTAATTAAAATGCATGCATTGGATTGTGATGGAAATCTCTTTTACCTATGTTTATGGAGGTATCCGATTCTTTATATAATATAGAGAGAACTCGGTGATGTGGTTCACGCAATCATGCTAAGCTATAATAATTTTCAATTAAGTTGGGGTTATCAGATCTGAGCTGCCAACCTCCTGACAACCATAAAATAGCAGAAAAGAGTTACAGTGTCAGCCTCATTAGGTAGACCTGACCAGGAAATCAACTCCCCAGGAAGGCTAATACTCCTTTATTTGAGATTGGCTATAATAACAGAATCTTGCAAGTCTGACTGTGCTGTGTCTCTTCCTCCTCCTTATAATTCAGTGAATTGGGGAGGCATCTGCCTGAGCTACTTCTGAACGTTATCTCTTGTTCTGGACTTAAAAAATGTTTCAGCCCCTTTTGCCTCGGTAATGGTACCTGCATATCTCTGTCAAGGTCACCTTTCTTATTCTATACAGAGCAGGAGTTCTTAACCTTTTTGTGCTATTGATCCCTTTGAGCGTAGTGACCCCTTCTCAATGACGTTTTAATTAGAGGTTAGTGAAAATGAAGTTGTAATTTTTTCTCATCCAAGTTCACACATCCCTTGAAATCTATCATAGATCCCAGGTTAAAAACCCCTGGGTTAGAGATTTCAGTATCTTTCTGCTGTCATATAGTGGTCATCTGGATTTTTGCAACCTGGATTTGGTCGCCCTACCTTAATGTGGTATGCAAACCTGCTCGACACAGAAGAGCATTATGTGAGAATCAAAATGCTGTTTTCTCCAGCATCTCATAGTTAAAAGAAGTCTTGCAGAGTGTTTCATTGGAAAAAAATGGCTTCAGATTCATGGCCGGTTATGATGCTTCCTTGGTAGTTTGGATTAATCACTATCTCAAGCTGACTGACCTTCAAGGAGAGTAAAAGCAGGGAAAAAGTTTAAGCATATAGTACAGTGTAGTGATTAAGATGGTTACAGTTGGCTCAACGTTTTGAGTTTATACTGCATCGGGAAACCCGTTGGACGAATCTGGGGTAGACACATTCTATGCTTAACCTTCCTCATAAGATTGTTGTTATAGGGATAAACTTTGGGCTTTTTGTAAGCTACTGTGAGCTCTTAGAAAAAAGGTGAGATGTAAATGCAGTAATAATGCAGTATGTTGCCACAAGGCCTTAATATGTGGAAATGTAATAAACCATAATGATCTGGATCAGCCTTGAAATGTAAACTTGGCAAAATGAATGCAATAGGTGAATGGAAGACAGTAAAAGAAATGTCCTTTGGACCTGTGCATTCTTGTTCCTAACTCCTACAAGCTTTAGACGTGCTTATAGAATCCAGTGCAACATTATTTGCTTTGTTTGCCACTGCAGAACAAAACTGAATGGGATTACTGATGTTGTCACGATACTTTTAATTTAATTCACAATATTGTCACAATACAGTAATTTAATTTAATGTTGGATAAAGAACCTGCTGGAACATTATATGTCTACTCAGAGCTGTGGTCTTAGAGTTGGCCATCGGCCCTCTGAAGCTATTTTTATTGGAGGTAAAAATATACATTCGTTAGAGAAGAACTGAATGGGAAAGATGCCGATCACCTGTAATGTAATGTATGAAACCTATCGTGTATGAATTGCACTAGTTCTAGTATGGGAATAAAATGGCTACTAAAGCAAGTCTGCTTAGAATAATATATTAAAAAAAACTAGTATTTTTAAGGATCAAGCTTACTTCAACAATCAAAGCATTGATGGAGAGCTGGTGTAACAGAAAGTTGTTTGCTCAAAACTCTCCACTTTCACAAACTGATTGGGTGGCCTACTTTCCATAGTATATATCTTAGATTGCAATCCTGACCATTGTTCTTTGGCTGCAAGCCCCCTTCCCCCAGTAGGACTTACCTTTGAGAAAACATGCAAAGTGTTTAGAAAAACTGCAATGCGGGGATATTGATTCATTCTGAAAGAATACTGTCCAAACGCTAGCCTGTTGTTCGTAGCATGTAGCATCGTGCAAATGTTTGGGCCCTGACCAGAAAATCTTGAGTTCAAATTCCTACTTAAGTCACACAGGTTGTAGAGTGTTTGGGGCAATCACTTTTCTTTATCTTAATCTAGATTGCAAGGTTGATATGTAGACAAAGTGGGAGAGGAATGTATCTTGGCTTTAACTTCTTGGAGGAAGGATGAAATTATCATTATAACTTTTCATCCAGTGTGAATGGT